CTAAGTGTCGCATCCAGCAGTCAATGAGGATAGCTCGCACATTCACCCTGGGCCTAATCAGTCGGTATGTGCTCTTAACAGTGAGGGCCTGGAGTGTTGAAGGCTTTTGTGGTTGTCTCTTGTTGAGAGAGGGCCATTGTCATTCCTTTGGGTCTAAGGCTAGGGCCACCAGTAGGGTTTCAGGGTGGTACACGACCCAGTTGATTCCATTCGCAGCACGAAGTACCCAAATGCGGTGGAGGTGGCCAAGTGGCTGCCGTTTGGTCCGGAGCATATTTGCTCAGCACTTGGTTGCATTGGAGGTGGTAGCGCTGGACTAAGGCTCTGTTCGTCCTTACCTCCACTATGTTGCCATACCCCACCAGCTGGGTGTCGTCCCCTTGAACCTTCACCCAGTAACTACTGGTTGTAGTAGTTCTTCCCCAGGTCCTTCCACCCTTCCAGCATGAGCCTTGCTAGTGTGAGTCCACCTGTTGATGATAGGGGACAGTAGTCATTGTAACTTCCCCACTCGATTTTTATCCCACCATCCAATTGCCATCGTTGCTTTTTCTTGCAATGGGGACGAGGGGTGGACCCTGGGGGCGGGGGAGTAGGGGAAGAGTCTCACATTAGCCAATCTCTGATTCTGCCTCTTGTTGTGGGGCCCATTTTTGTGAGTTCACAGTCTTCTTGCTCTACATGTCCCCTTCGTATTTTGTGAGCCCTAGGGATCCATCAGGCTTTTCCTTCCCTCACTTGATAGGCTTTGCTGGCTTTGGCTCACAGTGTGGGTCCCTGGTCCACTGGGAACAAGTCTGGGCACCGGCGTCCCCTCTTTGGGGCGTTGAGGGCTCGAGGGGGCATAGCAGGGCATTGCCTTCCTCATCGTCTGAGTCCAAGGCCCTCTCTTCATCTGTACTGGTGTTTCCGGCATTTTCTATGTCAGATCCTGACTGTCAGAAAAGACTGAATGCCTCACTTGAGACCTGTTTATTCAAGCCTGCTTGGCTGACCAGCATGGATAGGGAAGTGGGGGGTGCCATCTCAACCACAATGTGCAGCAAGGATTTGAGCAGGGGTTTGGGGATGAGGTCTCTCACTGGGGTAGTCATTACCCTAAGTTCTCCTTGATTGAAGTGAATTACCTTCTCCACTTCTTGTATAAGCACCTCTGGCCATGACTCTTCTTCCCCCATGGGATTGAAGGACTGCTGAAGCGAGGAAACACTTGGAATGAGGGATTTGCTATCCTTCTGGCTTGTTTTTTTTTCAGTCAGTATTTGCACCACCTAAATGAGTGCATTGCCTGTCCCTACTCGACATCATGCCGCTGGCTGGCCGTATTAATTTTTTTTTTTTAACTTTCCCGATCATCGTAACTATCTTCCTGATCTTTTTCCCAGTGCATTGGAGGGATTTGATCATGCGGGGATATAGCTCCGGTGACGAGAGAGTTACGCAGGATCCGGTCTGTGTTTTTACATTTTTGGTCTCGAACAGTGGTCGGGTTGATTGGCCAGAGTCCATCTCTTCTTCTTCTCAGGGGACTGCCTCCTGGGCCCAGTGTTCCTTGTCCATCAGCTGTTGGGTCAGGCAACATTTGTCTTAATTATCTGTATCCTGTAGTTGGGGTTGCTGCTGCTGGTAGAGTGTTGATTGCAACAGCATCGTGAACATTTGCTGGTGGTGGTCTTGTGCCACAGTGACGTTCAGGTAGTGGGGGAGAGTAGTAACCTGTTTTTGCTGACCCGAAGCCTGGGCCTGTGGGTGTAGGGGGAGTCTCCCCAGCCCTGCATTGTCTGTGTGCCGTGTGGTTGGTCTGCATCGAGGCCCGTTTGCTGGTGGTGATCCTGTGCCAAGGCAAGGTTTGGGTATGGGGAAGGAGTCATATCCTGTTGTTGCTGATCCAGATCCTGAGAAAGGGGACTGCAGAGGGTAGGGAGTGGGGGCGCGGGAGACCACTGGTATGTGAATTGTATCTGAGAGGGGAAAGCATTGTTCGCTATCTGGGTAAGGTGCTGTTGGGGAAAAAGGGGGGTCTGGGGGAGGGGAGCACAGTAGAAGGGGGGTGTACGGGATTGTAGAGAGGGTGGACGAGGGTTGTGTCGGGAGTTGGGAGGCGTGTGATACGCAACCTCACACCCCGTGCAACATCGCGTAACCCTGGGAGCACCAATCATAGTAATTGGGGCGTGGCCGAGGATTTTGGGCGGGGGTTGAACCGCCAGGGTGAATGTGGCATACTGCGTAGCCACACGGGCCCTGCAGGGCCCGTCCCGCACTTTCAGCCTAAAAGCCTAGAAAATAGGGCTTACAGGCCCCGGTCGTTTCAGTCTGAAACTGAAAAACGAGGGCCTGCAGGCCCTATTCCGTTTTCAGCCTATTTCTGGGCCTTTCAGGCCCAGGGGCTTTTCAGCCTGAAACGGAGGGCCATTTTCAGGCCCTCATTGTGTTCGACCTACCTAAGACTCAGGCACAAAAACAGGGTTTCGGGAACAGGCTATTTCTGGCCTGTTCCCCACGACAGCTCAAGCAGGAGCTGCAGCAGCAGCCCCTGCCTCCCTTCGGCATTGGCCAGAGCAGCCTCCTGGACTGCTCGCCTGCAGTCAGGAGGCACCCGGTAGTACATAGGAAGTTCCCATGCACTTCACGGGTAGGTAGTTGGACAGTAGGCACGAGTAGTCTTCAGGATTCAGCGCAGCACTCAGGAGGAGCGCTGCAGGGAGTAGCTTAGCGCTAGCAGTAGTCTTCAGCGCTGGGCGCTAGTAGCCATAGCAGTAGTCTTCAGCGCTGGGCGCTAGTAGGTGGTAGATCGTAGAGTT